TACATTATGTCAGAAAGCTTTCACATAAATTTCATCTTTCTGACCCAGTGGTTCTTGAGAAGAAGATTTTTAAATATCCACACCCAATTTTTACTATTTCTTACATATCTCCCCTTGGAAAGAGGGTATGGCCCTTCATTTGAACAAATTTGAAACCCCTTTACCATAAAGGATACTCTGTATTAAGTTTGGTTGAAATTGGCCCAGTGGTGGGGAAGAAGATGAAAATGTGAAAAGTTTATGACAACAACGACAGACGACGGACAAATTTTGATCAGAGAAGCTCCCTTGAGCCTTTGGCTCAGGTGAGCTTAAAACCAATCATGGAAAAGCAGCATGGAGTAGTTGCAGAAAAGGAGACAGGTTGCAAAAATAAGATGGGGGAAAAGTATGTCAGCCACTTGATCATAAATAACAACATTATTTATATATATTGATGTATACCTTTGCAATAAATATTTCATTCTAGATTTTTTTTTACCTGTTTGCATGTAACATATATGTATAATCTTTGAGAAGCTATCAGTGTGGTATAGTGGGGGACCATCTGCTCATTTTCTAGCAAATACCTGCAAGTTAAAATACAACATTTTAGTAAATATTTCTCAAACATGTCATTAGTAAACACTAAATAGAATATACAGTACAACTCATTTACAGGGAAGTTACTCGGACTTGCTTTCTTATAACTAAGCTTCTTTATATATCTGCATGTATTTTGGAATGCATAAAAGTTTAATTCCTAAAACAACTGAGATTTACCTCTTTTTATGAGAACTGAGTCCTGTTGTATTTTCAATTTAAAATGTATAGATATGTTTACAGTGGCATAAATACTTTTTATCTCTAGCTCAATCAGAAATCTATTGATTTATTTAGGCTATATTACATTACTGCTTTTATTAATATTGCAAACAGAGCGTCAAACTTCAAACTCGATGAATTATAAACATTTTTTAATCTATCCCCATTTATAATTAACCTCCTAGTGTTTTTAAAACACTGAATTTATCACAGCACACCCCAATGCCTGCCCTGGTGGCAAAAAGATCAAAGAAAACATTATCCTTTTCACTCTTTAAGTCTTGACCTTTTGGTTAAGTGATTATAGTGGATTGTACCACATAGGAAGAAAAAAAAGACCCCACAAAGGGACACAACTCATTTACTATTTGCAAACTAGTGAACATGAACTACAATGTATCTAAACAGATGTGCCCCCACTGTGCATGTCATTAGTACATTGTAGTAATTATATAAATATCATGGTTCTATATATAGAGAGAGTAACCTCTTTGTGATTATACATGTACATTTACAAATAAATGTTTTGATTGGCGGTGATGGGTGAATCAATGTGAGGTGTAAAGGAGAGTTTGGAGAGTAAGAAATAGGGAAGGTCAGAGTCAGACAGAGGAAGATAAAGGAAATTCAAAATAGTAGAGTTGAAGGGATGGGAGCTAGGAGAAGGATAAATTAAAGACCCACCCACTTTTTTCCAGGCCACCCTTCCATTATGTATCTATTTTTAGAACAAAATGATTGACTTACAGTCTGATTAAAAAAAAAATTAGGTATATCCTAATATACATGTATAACTTTACAGTGCTGTATATTGCTTGGTGAGGTTTACACCATGCACCAGACCCAGGTGCAACAGGCAAAGAGTGCCTGTGCCAGGTCCATATCTTATTTCAACATATCTATTTATTAAGCTGTCAGCATACATGTAACTATATTACCAATAAATTATATTACATTCATCTGGTGATAAAGGAGATGATAAAAATATGACAAACTTACAGAAAATTTTCAGTTGAATTTACTCTGCTCTTTCTTGTCTGCTTTCTCAGCCGCATGATGACGTAATATGTGACGTACGGCATTCCATAAAAAACCTACTTTTGGTTTCGTTAAATAAGTGTATACCCCGTAGTCATCAAAGTTCCGACTAAGACGCGGATATAAATTTTCAAAATAAAGATTTAAAGGACAAAAATTATAGTTATTTAGATATTTCCCGATTCTGTGATGAATACGAAAGTGAATGGCCGATTTAGCCAGGTTCTACTTGCACTTCCTGTTACAGAAAAAAACGAGTGTACCCTCCTGTGGCTTGTTCCAGAGTTTCCTTTGGGATTTATGTGCTCTAATCCCTTGAAACGACGGTGAATGTATGTACTGTTAATTGTTTGTCATATTTTGTGTTTAAAATGTAGATTCTTATTGTTATTCATTTTGCAAAGAAAATTTTCAGAGTAAATTCGGATCTCGTTTTCTTTTCAGGTTCAAGCCAGGTGAATCGAATGGTTACGTTTCATCGAAGTCATAATGAAGTTATGCATTTTTAGGTCACCTGAGTTTACTCAGGTGACCTATTGCTATCTGTTTTCGTCCGTCGGCGTGCGTCATGCGTCGTCCGTCGTCCGTCGTGCGTTAACATTTGAACATTTTCAGCTTCTTCTCTGGAACCACTGAACCAATTTCAACCAAATTTGGCACATAGCATCTATATGTGAAGGGGAGTAAAAATTGTGAAATTCATGACCCCTACCCCCCTGGGGCCTGAGGGGTGGGGCTAAAACCATCAGAATTAATGCAATCTTTAAAAATCTTCTTCTTTACTCCTGGGCATCAAGCAGGCAAACTGTTGGCATGAATGTAATAAGCATTGAGCCCTCTACCTAAATTGTGAAATTTATGGCCCCAGGGTCAGGGGTTCTGGTGCTAGGGTGGAGCTCTGTTGAATATGTAGTGAAAAGCATTATTCTTAAAAAATCTTCTCCTCTGCTCTTGGGTATTTAGGAAACAAACAATATGTATAGTTATGATGAGGAAAGGTGTCTCTTCTAAAATTGTGAATTTCATGGCCCCCGGGTCAGGGGTTCTGGTGTTAGGGCGGGTATCTTATGATTATGTAGTGAAAATGCATTAATTATTAAAAAATCTTCTCCTCTGCTCCTGGGTATTAAGCCGATGAACTAAGTACATAATTATGATGAGAAAGAGTGCCTCTTCCAAAATTGTGAATTTCATGGCCCAAGGGTCAGGGGTTCTGGTGTTAGGGTGGGGCTCTGTTGAATATATAGTGATAATGCATTATTTCTTTAAAAAGCTTCTTCTGTGCTCTTGGATATTGTGAAAACAAAATAAATACATAGTTATGATGATGAAAGGTGCCTCTTCCAAAATTGTGAATTTCATGGCCCCAGGGTCAGGGGTTCTGGTGTGAGGGCAGCGTTCTGTTGAATATACATGTATAGTGAAAATGCATTATTTCTTCTAAAAATCTTCTCTAATCCAGGGCAAACAAACTGAAGGCATAGTTATGATGAATAAGGGTGCCTATTCCTATGTTGTGAATTTCATGGCCCCCTGGTCAGGGGTTCTGGTTTTAGGGCGGGGCTCTAATGATTACATAGTAAAAATGCAATAATTCTTTGACAATCTTCTCCTTTTCTCCTGGGTAATAAGCTGATGAACTAAGAGTATAGTTATAATATGTAAGGGTGCCTGTTCCAAAATTGTGAAATTCATGTCCCCTAGGTCAGGGGTTCTGGTGTTAGGGTGGAGCTCTGTTGAATATATAGTGATAATGCATTATTTCTTTAAAAATCTTTTTCTTTGATCCTGGGTATTTAACAAACAAACTGATGCATAGTTATGATGAGTAAAGGTGCCTCTTCCAAAATTATGAATTTCATGGCCCCTGGGTCAGGGGTTCTGGTGTTAGGGTGGGGCTCTAATGATTACATAGTAAAAATGCAATAATTCTTTGAAAATCTTCTTCTTTTCTCCTGGGTATTAAGCTGATGAACTAAGAGTATTGTTATGATATGTAAGGATGCCTCTTCCAAAATTGTGAATTTTATGGCCCCTGCATCATGGTTCTGGTGTTAGGGAGAGCTCTAATGATTACATAGTGAAAATGCATTAATTCTTTGATAATCCTCTGCTCTCTTTCTGGGTATTAAGTAAGCTTACTAAATGTAAAATTATGAGTAGCAAGTGTGCCTCTTTCGAAATTGTGAATTTCATGGCCTCTGGTTTAAAACATGAATCCATTGTGGCGAAGTTGTTGCATGATACTCAGGTGACCTATAAGGCCCGTGGGCCTCTTGTTTATGCTAAGCGACATTTATTTGAAGACTTTACTAAATTTTGAGTAAGTAATTAACATTAAAAGTGATTTTTAATTGTGTATATTGTTCTGACACATGTGCAGAGACTTGTAAACACGACTTTTACAGTGTATCACACAAAATATTTTAGGACGCAGGTCTTGGGGATTAATCTCACAAATGTGGGGGTTATGTATGAAAAAATTCCTTGTAATAATTAAACTGTTGCATTTGATATATTCTAATTATTTTATGCAGATTAAAAAAATCCATCTTTTCAGCATTATAATGTCTGTAAAACTCATAAATCCAATTGGAATATCATAACTAAAATGGACTATTATATCTAATTTGGACAATAGGTTCCAATAACAACCTTATACAGTGTTTTCCCTTTATTTCAAAGTAAAGCATTAGAGATCAATTGTATCTGGCTTTGGGTTGATGTTTATGACAAATCTCTGTGGACCTTACAATAATTAAAGTTTATTTTATTTTATTTTTTATTTCAAAGCGGCATTTTTATCAATTGAAGCGATTAATTTGGCCGCTAGCTCAGTTCTTAGGGAAATCACTACTTATACAGAGAGTTGCATGGTCAATAACATGTTCTGATGTCTGACATATGCCTCTATTGTGCAGTTATTAATGTACAAAACACAGGGTCTTCTGTTTTGCTCAAAACATGTAATACCAGTGCAGTTTAACATAAAAAAGTTGACAAAACATGGACCTTTCAGGTGATAACATGGAATTTATTGTATGTAATGACAGATCCTATTCAGTAATTATAGGAGCTAGCCCTTTTGACTGAAACAATTGGAATATCAGTATTGGTAGTAATATAATAAAAAATTTTATGATTTAATTTCTTTGTAGGAAATGCTTGTCAGGACAAAAGACTGAAAAAGACTGAAAAACTGCCTTTAAACACAGCCATCATTAATGTAAATGGATTCATAAGGAGCATCCAAACAATATGATATTAGGATCATCAGAGACTGGCAATTTTTTACCACTCACTGTGATAGATGCATCTAAATAAACATTAAAATGTTAAATTTTTTTGTTCATTGCTTTTCCTCATATGGTATTAATATTGCATAATATTCTTGTGAATATCGCACGATTTTCACATGAAAAACAGACGAAGCGGAATTCGCATGGATATCATGCGAAATTTTAGTCGCATAAAAATCGCATGAATTTCGCATGAAATTTTAGTGATAACATTTGCATGAAATTCGCATGTGGGACTTTTCGCATGATTTTTGTATGATTTTCGCATAAATTTCATGCGAAAAGGCAAACGCATGAAAATCATGCGAGCCACTTTTCCCTGTGTATGACATATCAAAAAAATTGAAATTATCTTCATGTAACCAACAAACTTACAAGCAAAATTAAAATACCAGTGATCAAAGTTACACGTTCAAAATTATAAGAATATCAGTGGTATATCATTTTCAGATTGCTGTGTCACTCAGAATTAAGAATATAACAGTGGTATATCATTTTCAGATTGCTGTGTCACTCAGAATTAAGAATATCAGTGGTATATCATTTTCAGATTGCTGTGTCGCTCGGAATATGAGTAGCTCCTGTTTACCTGTTTGTCATCCAGCATCCAGGCCACAGGACTTGGACATGGTTGTAGCATGTGCTCAGGATTTTGAGACAGTGTTAAAGTGTGGAACAGGTCAGTTCATCAGAAAGTGAATTTCAAAGTAGAAGATTATCACAGTTTGCATTAAATTTCTGCATGTCCACTATTTTGTAACTTTTGACTGGGAAAGGAAGGGAATTTTAAGCCCTATTTTTTAAAATGGTGGAAGATCCGCCTAGATTTACCTATGTCCATATGATCTTTCCATTTGATTTGGTGACTGTGATATAACATGAAAACACCTTTTATATATTTGTATTTACTCTTGAATTTGGTTCAGTAGGATTGATTTTTTGTTTCAATAGAAGTTTTGGTCTCTTTTTTTAAAAATTGGGATATTTTGTTATGTTTGCACTTGGATTTTAGGTTTTAAGTTATAGGTCATAAATTTAAAGGGTGTAATACTATAGATGATAGAGAATATTATTATATATAAATAAAGTAGATTTTTGGTTTAATACAGCAACATGGATTTGATTTGGATGTTACATATTTGTATTTGCATCAGAGTTAGTTTGATAGAGGTCCTCTATAAGAGTGCTTTGGGATAATAGTAATATAGACATTAAAATGATTTTTATTCAAACCATAAACTGACTGGAAGATTCCATCATTCAGACTTGACCTTCATAATATTTTAAGATTGATTATTTTTCTTTCAAACCCAAAGACTATTACAAGCCAATAGTAGGCATTTCATTGAAAAGGAGATACTAAAAAGTTTGTGTTCCAGTGTAGAGCACAAAGTCACATCAGGTTTTTAACTAATATTGTTGAAAGTCTACAGTAGGCCTTTTATTTTCAATTAGATTAAGAATTTTAATATAAAGAGACTTTTAGATTTTGAATTAAGCATAAGATGTTTCATGATCCCATGCCCAGATCTAGTATGTTTTAAACTAAATGTTGGGCCCTGCTCTGTATTTGGAATTATTTACTGTTGTTTTCTTAGCGTAATTTACTGTATCAGCAATTATCATCACCAACCCACTGCAGATTTAAGAGCATTGTATCCTGCCAACATTTGCTGCTTAGAATGTCTTATGACAATATGGCAGATTTGACATTGTAGATGGAAGAAACCATGTAGGATGCTGTAAAAGAAGAAACCTGCCTGATTTGTGTATGGACTTCTGTTCTGGGACCATGCCTGCCAGCCTGGAGGATAGACATCTTACCTGTCTACAGAAGATTAACGACATCTTGGCTTGTCTGGAGGAAGGTCAAGGTAGACCTCTTGTAATCAAGGTTTAGGGCTACAGAAAATTCTATCTGAAAAGTAATGAGCTTTTAGCTCATCTCAGCCAAAGATGTGAGTTTTTATGATCAGTGACATAGTATGTGTATTTTTTATGCCCCGCCATGAATATGGCCAGTGCATATAGTGTTTGTCATATCCGTCTTCCGTCCTTCCATTCTTCCGTCCTTCCATCTGTCTTTCCATCACATTTTGCGTTTAGCTCTGTTCAAAGCTCATTTTTAAAGAAACTGTCCAAGATATTTTTATCAAACTTCATATGTTGATACATACTGATGTAAGCTATTCAACTGCATCAGCATTTTTTTACCTTGACCTTTCATTTGACCTCACGTTTCTTAAATTATTGTTTAGCTCAGTTTTAGATACCATTCAATACAGTGTTATTAAACTACATATGTTAATACATACTGATGAGAGCTATTCAGCTGCATCAACATTTTTTGACCTTGACCATTCCTTTGACCTTGACCTCACTTTTCTTAAATTAGTGTCAAACTTCATATGCTGATACATACTGATGTAAGCTATTAAACTGCATCAATATTTTTTGCATTTTACTTAATTTTAAAGAAACCATTTAAGATATATTTATGTAAGTTTATGCACTTATACATAATTTGGCAAGAATTTATCATCTATATCCAACTTTTTAGATTTCAATTTCAATTTTAAAGAAACTATTCAAGATATTCTCATCAAATTTCATACACTAATACAAATTTTCATGTTGCATTACTAATCTACCCTCGGCGGGGCATTCATGTCCTATGGACATATTTCTAGTCATCTACATTTTTAACTTTTGAAAATGTTTACTTCTCCATAAGAAACAGCAAATTTCAGGTGAACTAGACAAAAAGGAAACCCCTGTAGATTCTGGGATAATGAACTCAAAGTTGAAGATCTAAAGATCAAGCTTATTGATATAAGCATACTCTTGGGCCCTACATGACTATCAGTTTTTTGTTTAGTTGAGAGACTGTATAATAAGACTGTGTGTGTTTTCCAGATTTGTTGCCTGGCCCTCCCACCTCCGTTTCCGTTGTACAGAGTGTGTCTGATGACCAGACAGCCATGTTGGTGACCTGGAAATTCCCCATACAGAATCCATCACTAGTTACTGGATATAAACTCTTCTACAAACAAGCCACTGATGACCACTACAAAACGGTTAGTTTTCTTATGAGACCACTGCTGAAGGCAATAGTTTAGTTTGAGGGTGTGACAAATTATATTTTGCCTGAGAAACCAGTAAAGATGTGTCTGACCTAAATTTCCCAGATGTGTGACTAGGTTAGAGTTTTTGGAGCAGGTTCACTTTTGAAGCAGGTTCATTCCCAGGTAACAATAAGCCCTATGGTAACCAAACTTCCATGGATGATGCACCTAGAGATGCACACTAGAAGAGTTACTTCTTATGTTGGGTCTGACCAACATTTTCTAGCAAACAGGTTAAAGATTTTGAACAGAGATATAACAAGCAGCTAAGTATAAGCCTATCTGGATCAAATTCTTGAACATTACAAGTTGGGGGAGCAGGTCCATTCCCAAGTAACTGTAAGTCCTGCCCAGACTAAACTTGCATGGGTGAAATTGTATATTTGGATGCACATTAACAGAAAAATTGGGTTTTGAGATTTCTGGGTTGCCTTACTTATAGATCAATTAGTCGAGGTGAGCTCTGTAATCTTCGTTTAACTGTGCTTTTTTAGTAAAGATTTATACAGAAAACATTTTTTTAAAGGAATAACAATACCATTTATTTATATTTTTGTAATATTCTATATGAATTTTAGTGTAATCCACTAAATGCAGATGGACTCCTAGATAAACAAAGCATTGTGACTTGTTTATTTCAGCAAAACTATTTTAAATGTGTCTCATTAGAATGTTAGAATAATTCAGTATTTTAAGGATAATATAAAAATTTATTTGAAAATAAGCTGACATAAAAATTAAGTATAGATTATTAGATAGATTGTGTTAAGTGTTTTGTTACATAAACAATTTTAAAACATGCTGTACCAAAGAGTTATTGAATACCTTAAATTTTTGTTTGTAAACAGACAAGCATACTGAATAGGGATCAGCTGATGTATATTGAATACATGTATATTTTGTTTGTAAACAGACAAGCATACTGAATAGGGATCAGCTGATGTATATTGAATACCTGTATATTTTGTTTGTGAACAGACAAGCATACTGAGTAGGGATCAGCTGATGTATATTGAATACATGTATATTTTGTTTGTAAACAGACAAGCTTACTGAATAGGGATCAGCTGATGTATATTGAATACATGTATATTTTGTTTGTGAACAGACAAGCATACTGAATAGGGATCAGCTGATGTATATTGAATACCTGTGTATTTTGTTTGTAAACAGACAAGCATACTGAATAGGGATCAGCTGATGTATATTGAATACATGTATATTTTGTTTGTAAACAGACAAGCTTACTGAATAGGGATCAGCTGATGTATATTGAATACCTTTATATTTTGTTTATGAACAGACAAGCATACTGAATAGGGATCAGCTGATGTATATTGAATACCTGTGTATTTTGTTTGTAAACAGACAAGCATACTGAGTAAGGATCAGCTGATGTACAGACAGGGGGGTCTACAGTTAAACGTCCAGTACAGTGTCTACATGGTGGCTATAGGGGACCACGGATCAAGCCAGCCCTCAGAGACATTCATCATCACCATCTTACCAAGTAAATAATACAGATAATAATTCTAAAAACATGGTGCTGTAAAACAATTCTTTTAATTTTACCATACATGTTTTCTATTCTGTATACACATTCTTGAAATGTTTATATGTTGGCTTGTTTGTCATTCCAGCATCACCTAAGTTAGAGACGGAGGCTGATATAAGAGGTAATAAAAGTAATGAGTCAATGATTAAACATTATAACTGTATGATTAGAATCAGTAGTTACTCCCCTTTAACACCATAAGGAAACCTTGGTGTTTTTTCTGATATTTATTGTTTAACAGGGTTGTATTCATGCCATCAAAGCCAAAAGTTCACAACCTTTTTACAATCAAAGTTAGTAATAAATGCACATCTTTCTGTACCACTCTGTCTTTTGTAAACTTCCATTTCATCTGAATAATCACAAAGATACAGATATAATAAAATAAATTTGCTTGTGGTGCTTTGAAAACTGCATTTGCTTTTTGGGACTTTGTAGTATGCATTGTTTCCTGCCATGCTACATGTATTTCAGATTCATTTGCCTACAAGAAAGATTTTATGGGAGAGGGGGATTGTGATTTTTGTCGGGGACATCTGTACCTACAGGCCTAACATATAGATACTAATGTTTTTAGCTCACCTGAGCTGAAAGCTCAAGTGAGCTTTTCTGATCACCCGTTGTCCGTCGTCCGTCTGTCCGTCCGTCCGTCTGTACGTCCATCTGGAAACTTTTCACATTTTCGACTTCTTCTCAAGAACCACTGGGCCAATTTTAACCAAACTTGGTACAAAGCATCCTTGGGTGAAGGGGAGTGTAAATTGTTAAAATGAAGGGCCAAGTCCCCTTCAAAGGGGAGATAATCAAGAAAATATAAAAATTGGGTGGGGTCATTAAAAAATCTTCTTCTTGAGAACCACTGGGCCAGAAAAGCTGAAACTTATGTGGAAGCATCCTGGGGTAGTGTAGATTCTAAATTGTTCAAATCATGACCCCCGGGGGTAGGGCGGGGCCACAAAAGGGAATCCAAGTTTTACATTGAAATATGTAGTAAATATCTTTAAAAATCTTCTTCTCAAGAACCACTGCGCCAGAAAAGCTGAAACTAATGTGGAAGCATCCTGGGGTAGTGTAGATTCTAAATTATTTAAATCATGACCCCTGGGGGTAGGGCAGGACCACAATAAGTACTGGGGGGGGGAGAAATCAGGTGAAAAACAGCAAGGCCAAAGTTACTCAGGTGGGCGCTGTGGCCCATGGGCCTCTTGTTACTTATACAGCTTGTTGTGCAGCCAAGGGTGTGAGTGATGACTGCTTACCTAAACTGTGTACAGCGAACATCATGGCAAACGTTAACCCTGTAGAAATTCTACGATGTTACTCGGATTTAGAAAAAGCACAGCAGTGTCTTGTGGGTAGGTATATGAGGTGAAATCTTTATTGTTAAGTATTGTATTCATTATGAAATCCTCCTTTGAATGTTGATGTCTTTGTAAATAAGGTCAGCGGAACCACAGTGCTTGCTGTGCGAGGAATGGTCTACCGGACGTCTGTCTGTCTATCTGTGAGGGGAAACCCACAAACCTGACGCTGGATTACACAGCCTGTGTCATCAGACTGCCAGTCATAGAGGCCTGTGTCCAGGAGGGCAGAGGTGAGAGCTGTTAACCATTTCAAATATACCTCTAGTAGTTACCCTTTATGGTAAATACATTAGTCCTGATTAGCTATAAATTCTGTAGCCTCAGTGGTAAATACGTTAGTTGTGATTGGCTAGAAATTCTACAGATTCAAATTCTTCTTTACAACCATTGGCTCACTTAGATTTAACCAAACTTACTGCATACCATTTTTTTTTGGTGATGGCTTCAAGTTACACAAGTGAGTTAAGGCTAGGTATAGGCACTTCTATGCAAATAAACTAATTAAAATGCCTAAGGACTATATCTATTGCACAGAGAATGTTAATACTTATTGTCTAATACATACTTGGTACACACGACATGAGAGCAAGTACACATTATGACGTCTTATTATGACATCATTGTTCTTTACTACACAAGATTATAAAAGACATTAACAAAAATTCTTCGGTGCAAGGGCATGCTCTGTTTTATTTAACTGAAACAAAGTATATTTAGAAGCAAAATATTCCAAGGATTGCTGCACAAATATCAACAACTCATTTGTTTAATTACTACTTGTAAAGTTTGAAGTTGAATCAGGGTTAAAATGTACAGTCTGGTATAAGTTTCCTCAGTTTCCGATCAAATGAGAAAATGCCTAGGATTTGTGCAGCAGTTTTATTAATCTATAGAATATTCTTCTTAGCATTATACAATTTTTATGTAAAATTAAATAGGGTATTCCCTTGCACTGAAGCTGTTTTGTTGATGTGTTTTGTTACCTCCAAAATGTAAGAACAATGACATCATAATATGACGTCATAATGTGTACTGGCTATAACATATCTTGAGTACTAAGTATGTATAAGAAAATAAATCAAAACTTTCTCTGAATTATAAATAAACCTCTTATGCATTTTTATAAGCTCATTTGCATAGAAACGCCCATACCTAGCCTTAGCTCACTTGTGTAGTTAATTTTTAGATTAAGAGGCACAGCACTGTTTCAAGTGGAGATAAACAAGAAATTAGTGATTATATATTGGGGACATTAAGAATCTTTAGAATCACTACTAGGCCTGAAAAGACAAAACATTCATGAAAGCTTCATTTTTATAGTTAGGTTTAAGTATATGTATATTCAAATCATTGCCCATGGGGCCAGGATGGGGCCACAACAGAGGTCAAAATTTACATGGGAATATATAGATTCATAAGTTATTGTTGTATACATTATAAGCTTATATGGATATCTATTAAATGGTGAGATGATAGATGTGGTATAGCTCAATATCTCTGAACAATTATGTCTTTGTGGGGAAAAAAAAAGAAGCCAGAGTTTGTGGAATATTTGCAAAAAAAGTAGGCATTATTTATTCTGTAAACCATAAAGATGAACTGTTTATGTCAAGTTGGCATTACTTGTTCACCTTCACAAAGTTGCACCCAAAATTTTCATGAAATTTAGATCATACAAAATTTCAATGAAAAAGATTTTACTGTAGGGAGTAATTTTAGATTGTATCATTATTAAGAACAGATTTTCTACTGATCGGTCATGTCTTCCTTTTTAGCCACCATCCCAGGTCCCCCTGTCAACATTACTGTTCTCCCCGGAGTCACGGAGGCTATGATTTCCTGGGATAATGTAGGCGCAAAGGCCACAAAATATGTTCTAAAGTACAAAGTTCTGGGGCTGAAAAGTGCTCCATACCTCCAGGTAAAAAAATGTTCTATCAAATGTTACTGATCTTCATGTGATCTTCATGATCTTCAACTGCAAGCATTTTAAAAATGAATAGAAAACTTGGCTTGATTCATTGTTTTAGATATTGATGTTGAAGTATGTGAAATAAGTGTCAGGGTGAATCTTAGTATGACTTAGCTGATTGTATCGTGTGCAGTGAAAAAAAAACAACTTTTTAAACTTTTTGACCATCACAAGATTTTTAAGACAGTTATTTGATGTTTTATTATTTTTTTTTAGGTGGATGTCACTGAGTCACCTGTACATCTGACCAATCTTTATCCGGGAACTCATTATGAGTTTCAGATGGTAGCATCCAATGAAAATGGTTCCAGCCTATTCTCATCAAAAGTTATTTTCCTGACTTATGGTTGGTGTAGATACATGAACATTTTTTTTTGAAGAAAGTTGTAATGTAAATCAATCTTATTATTAAAGACATATGCTTATCATTGACATTATGTACTAATTATTAGGGCCCCGCAAGGATTTGCGGGAGCCCTATAGTAATCACTCTGTCTGTCTGTCCGTCTGTCTGTCTAGCTGTCTGTCCATCTGTCATTCTTCCGTCCACAAATTTTCTGTTTTTATTCCCCCGGATCGAAAGATCCCGGGGGTATATTATTTTTGTCCTGTCTGTCTGTTTGTCTGTTTATCTGTTTGTCCGTTTGTCTGTTTGTCCGTTTGTCTGTTTGTTTTTCTGTCTGTCTGTTGTCAACTTTAACCTTGCCCATAACTTTTGATTGGTTGGAGCTATGACTTTCATATTTCACATGTGTATTCCTTGTGACAAGACCTTTCTTTGGGTACCATCATATTTGACCTTTTGACCTTGACCTTGGAGTTTGACCCACTTTTGCAAAATTTTATGAGACTTTAACCTTGGCCATAACTTCTGAACAGTTGGTGCTTGGGGTTTCAAACTTCACATGTGTATTTTTTGTGACAAGGCCTTCCTTTGGATACCAACAACTTTGACCTTTTGACCTTGACCTTGGAGTTTGACTTACTTTTGAAAAACTTTAACCTTGGCCATAACTTTTGAACAGTTGGTGCTTGGGGTTTCAAAGTTCACATGTGTATTCCTTGTGACAAGACCTTCCTCTGGATATCAACCACTTTGACCCTTTGACCTTGACCTAGGAGTTTGACCTACTTTTGAAAAACTTTAACCTTGGCCATAACTTTTGAATGGTTGATGCTAGGGCTTTCGTACTTCACATATGTAATCCTTGTGACAAGACCTTTCTTTGGATACCAACCACTTTGACTCTTTGACTTTGACCTAGGAGTTTGACCTACTTTTGAAAAACTTTAACCTTGGCCATAACTTTTGAATGGTTGGTGCTAGGGCTTTCATACTTCACATGTGTAATCCTTGTGACAAGATCTTCCTTTGGATACCAACCACTTTGACCTTGACCTTGATGTTTGACTTTTATTTAAAAAACTTTAACCTTCGCCATAACTTTTGAACAGTTGTATCTAGGTCTTTCAAATTTCACAGGTGTATTCCTCGAGACAAGACCTTTCTTTGGGTATCAACATTTTTTATCTTTTGGCCTGGATTTTGACTTGCATTTGAAGAAACTTTAACCTTCGCCATAAGCTGCCATACGGGGGCATCAGTGTTTCACAAACACATCTTGTTTTCTAATAACTTTTTTTTAGGGTGACCAGTTAAATTCAAATATAGTATGTTGGTTGAATAGGCAGTAAGACATATTTTGATGCTAAGTTTGGTTCTCTATGTCATCCGTTTTGGAGCTGGGGTGGTGGGGTAGATTCCTTAACTTTATATAAGAGTGAATAGGCAAAGAGAGATAACTGCTGAGAATGCTCCTATTGTAAACTATGAAAGGCTGCAATGAGTCTCTTGGGATTAATTAACTTTCCTCTTGAAGAAAATCCAAAGCATTTATCTTTATCTGCCACATTGAGATTAATTAACGCCTCTGTCTGCAAATGAAGTTTGTTTTGAAGTTAAGGTCAATTCTGAATGATGTTTACATTCTCTGAAATGTGGATTTAAATAATGTTCATACTTTATTTTGGTAAAATACTCAATGAGTTCTGATTTTATTGAATTCTAAAAACAAGATATAGGTGAAGATATCATTTTTATTATTATTTTCTTTTCTTTTTTTTCTTTTTTTCTGCCTTATGTAAATTCAAGAATACTATTTATTTTAACAGATATTCAGATAATAACCTCATTCTATTATTGCTGAAAAAGTTCTTATTGTAAACTCAGAAGAAAAGGTTGAGAGAGCAGTATAATTAATCCTGTGGGTTTGATTATCTTGCTGGTTTGCAGAAAATTTTAGAGGGTTATCTTTCTGTCACTTTAAGATTAATTTACACCTTTGTCTGCAACTGATATTTGTTTTGAAGTTAAGGTCAAGTCTGGGTGATATTTGCATTCACTGAAGGCTGGCATTTTTTAAAACACATGCTTTATTCTTGTTTAAATATACATTTAATTGAGTTATTATAGATATGATGTTTTTTACTGCCTTATGTAAATACAAGGAAACTATTTACAGGTTGTTGCATATTTAGCAGTTGCTGTTGCTTATTCTTTATATATATTTTAAAATTTTTTGTAATCAAGTAAAATTCTCATCCCGTAATCTGCACCTTTATATTTCTACCCCTTTTCTAAAAGTTGTACAAGAAATTGTATCGGTACTGGACAAATTTCTGCATCTTCACTACTCTCCTCACATACCCTTGGCCTAGTTTGACCAATCAGTGAGGGCTTTCATATTTAAGATACATATTCCTTGTGACAAAACCTTTCTTTGGGTTGGAGTTTGACCCACTTGCAAAATTTTTCCAAACTTTAACATTGGCCATAACTCTTGAATGGTTGGAGCTAGGACTTTCATATTTTAGATGTGTATTCTTTAAGACAAGGCCATTTCTTGGATTCCACAATTTTGGCCTTTTGACCTTGAAGTTTGACCTTCTTATGAAAAACTTCAGCTTTGTCCATAACTTTTGAATGGTTGGCTTTTCACATGTTTTCCTTGTGACAAGAACTTTCTTTGAGTACCAACAATTTTAATCTTTTAACCCTGACCTTGGAGTTTGACCTACTTTTGAGAATCTCTAACCTTGTCCATAACTTTTGAATGCTTGGTGCTAGGGCTTTCGTATTTCAAAAGTATATTTAAGGAATCACTGTCTAGTTTGTTGGGTATGCCAGGGCACCAGTGATAATTGGAAACAGGAGATAATTTGCATAACGGGCCAATGGTTGCTGCAAGGGCTTTCATATTTCACCTTGTTACAATATTTTTCTTTGGGTACCAACATTTTTTATCTCTTGACCTTGTCCTTGGAGTTTGACTTGCATTTGAAAAACTTTTAACTTTTGCCATGAATTGCCAGTGGGGGCATCAGTGTTTCACAAACACATCTTGTTCTTACTTTTTGTCTTTTAATTCAGTATATTAAAAAGAAGAGAATTATTGCATGAATATTTTATCTTTTCAGTAATCATACCATGATTTTTAATCCCTATACCTATTGAATGGTTTTGATAATTGGAAGTCTTTTGTCATTTACAGAAAGAGAAATAACAACACCTGCCCCAACACAGCCTGGTGAAATCCACAACCTAACAGGTAACTGTAGTTAACAATAGATAGAACTCTGGTGAAATCCACAACCTTACAGGTAACTGTAGTTAACAATAGGTAGAACTTTGGTGAAATCCACAACCTTACAGGTAACTGTAGTAAACAATAGGTAGAACTCTGGTGAAATCCACAACCTTCCAGGTAAATGTAGTTAACAATAGGTAGAACTCTGATGAAATTCAAAACCTTACAGGTAACTGTAGATAACAATAGGTAGAACTCTACTGTTAATGAGGTGTCAAAGTAAGTTTTTGAATGGCTTGACAGCAGATACAGAACTGTAGATTTTGATATACATGTACCTCTTATGACTGTGGACAGAATGGTGATATAAAAGAAGTTCAATTCTTTTCTCTACTTTCAGCAATTATAATAATATTTGGCTATTAATGAATATTTTAACTTTGACATAAGTGCCAATCTTTTTTTTTTTGAAGTGCATATCCCCAGTGTTCCTACTTTCAGTTTGTTGTATGGATAAGATGGTGAGCAGTAAATGTATGCCTCTGTGTTCCCTGGATGCTATAGCCAGTGGTTCCTTGGACTTCTCCATGGCACTGAATTGCATTGATGAAATAGCAAAGATCATTTCTTGTGCCTCAGGTTATTTGCAATTGCAAAGATTTTGCAAGATTTTGTTTTTTTTGGAATAAAATATTTTTACTAGATACACAATGCAAAGAAACACTCAATATTTCATTAGATTTTTCATTCCTTGCTGTACAAAACACACAGAAAATTTGAGACATTTATCTTTGTTGGAGATAAATTTGCAGTCGTGATGTTTACAGATGGTAGAGACCACACCCCTTGTTGTAGAACGTCCCAAGTTCCTGACATGTGTGACAATCTTTGTCGATTTTCTGCACACGATGAGCTATCTACAGAGCTGATTGGTTGCGTTCAGTATACCGCAACAATAGCTAACTGTTACAGAGAGGGTCTGGGTAAGGACTAACAATTTTAGAATTGATATAGATAATGTGAATCTGTATTGTGATCCAGATTTTTTTTGTTCAAGGCTTTCAGTATTTTGACAAATGTGTTTTTTTCCTGCTCAAGTTGTGATTCCTTTTAAAGAGACTACACTAACACAAAGTTCTTGTTTTGTCAGCTGTGTTACCCAGACAGCCTCGAAATTTCACAGTTGTTAAATATACGGCACACTCTGTATATCTGACATGGAGACAACCAGAGGCCACTAGTACTCGGGTAGAAAATTACACCGTCATCTATTATACAGAAAGTGAAAGGAATAAAAAGTGGAAAACCGTAAGTAAATGTAATCTTCTGTACACAACTCAGGACCAATATTTGTATGCCTCTAGTATGCCTCATGGCTAGTTATACTGTACAGCAATAATATTTTATCCCTTATTGCTATTTATACAGTACAACAAAATATCTTTATAAAGAATGTTTATTAGGGCCCCGCAAGGATTTGTGGGTGCCCTATAATAATCACTCTGTCTGTCATTCTTCCATCCACAAATTTTCTGTTTTTTTTCTAATAACTTTTTTTGTAATGGACCAATTAAGTTCAAATTTGGTATGTTGGTTGAATAGGCAGTAAAACATATTTTGATGCTAAGTTTGGTTCTCTATGTCATCCAGTTTGGAGCTGGGGGGTGGGATAGATTCCTTAACTTTACATTAGAATGAATGCCAGGGCAAAGAGAGATAACTGCTGAGAATGTTCCTATTGTAAACTATGAAAGCTGCAACTAGTCCCATGGGATTAATTAACTTTCCTCTTGAAGAAAATCCAAAGCATTATCTGTTTCTGTCAAATTGAGATTAATTAACGCCTCTGTCTGCAAATGAAGTTTGTTTTGAAGTTAAGGTCAATTCTGAATGATGTTTAAATTCTCTGAAATGTGGATATAAATAATGTTCATACTTTAAATACACAGTGAGTTATGATTTTATTGAATTCTAAAAACAAGATATACATAAAGATATGTTTTTTTTATTTTTTTGTTTTTATTTATTTTATTTATTTATTTATTCATATATATAAATATATATATATATATATACATACATATATATATATATATATATATATATATATATATATATATATATATATATATATAGATAGATAGATAGATAGATAGATAGATAGATAGATAGATATATTTTTTTTTTGCTGCCGTACGTAAATTCAAGAATACTATTAATTTTAACAAGTAGTCCGATAATAAACTCATTCTATCATTACTCAAAAAGTTCTAATTGTAAACTTGGAAGAAAAGGATGAGAGAGCAGTACAATTAATCCCCTGGGATTAATTATCTTGTCTGGGGCAGAAAATTTTCCAGGCTTATCTTTGTCACTTGTAGATAAATTAACCTTTGTCTGCAACTGATGTTTGTTTTGAAGTTAAGGTCAAGCCTGGGCAATATTTGCATTCACTGAAGGCTGGAATTTTATAAAATACATGCTTTATTCTTGTTTAAATATACATTTAATTGAGTTATTATAGATATGATGCTTTTTACTGCCTTAAATACAGGGATACTCTTTACAGGTTCTTTGATATTTAGGAATTATCTTGAAATTTTATGAATACAGTTGTTATTGCATATTCTTCTTCATATAGTTTTTTTGATTTTTGTAATCAATTGAAATTTTCACTCTTTAAGCTGCACCCTTATATTTCTACCCCTCGGCAGGGCCCTTGCTGACTGGTCAGTTTTCTAGTTATGAATTCATACTAATAACAAAGACATACCTTATAAGCAGAAATTTTAGCAAGGATTCAATTTTGGCATTATTAGCGAGGGTGTTGAGGTTGCTAAAATTAAATATCACTAACAATTTATTCCACATTAGAAGTTACCCTTAACTTGCTATGCACCATAAAATAGCTAAAATTACTTCTCGCTAAAGTTAAATCCTGATTTTTAAGGACAAATCGCTAAAGGAGATGAGTGAAGAAGGCATGCAGAATGCCTATAGCTTCAGATATGTAAAAATAATGTTCAATTTGTGAATTTAGTATTTAGAGTAAAGTTCTCATTATTGAAATTTATGAAATTATGATAAACAAAACTTTTCTGAGGAAATTTTCTCAGCAAAAATTATTCTGTTATTAAAAAATTATGTGGTATTTTTGGGGTTCAAATCCAAACAATAAAAATCCTGGGTATCATTTTCCTTTGAGACTAACGTGCTAACCACTACACTACACAGCTCCTGACGAATGATTGCATTTAAATCATGTTTGTGATATTGCCCTTGACTAAATGGACTGCAAGTATTTCTTGGAAGATGCGAATGTTGTGTCATAAAAGTGTATTTTTAAGGTAGAGTGGGTCTTTGCTCCATGTTTTTGTTCACCAAAAAATGTATATTTTTATGCAAACTTTAGGATAAACTTTTTAAAAAATATGGAGCAAAGACCCACTCATATCAAAAAATTGTGTTGTAGTATGAGACAATGATCCTTTTTGCCCTCTTTAGTGTGATGTGCTTCTTAGTTCATAGGCAAATAATTTCTATCTTTATATATCTTTCATATTTTTGTCATTCAATGATGATTTTTTATGAAAAGCAGTTTGCACTATGTTTTGACTTAAGTACAATCACAGTGGAGATTCTTGCTCATCCATGAGCTAGTTCCTGAGAACGTGAACTGTTTTTTTAATTTTCAGGGAAAAAGGAAAAATATTTGGAAAATTAATGTAAATATTACATAACAAATACGTAAAACACATTTTACTCCAATGTTACATAGGGGACTTTCATTGGTAGCACAGAACATTTGTTTTGACCTGTTCATGTTTTTAAGTATATGTTTCTTTGTTTTAACAGATGTCCACTAAGAATTTGGAGATGATAGTGAATAACTTACAGCCCAGTACTGTGTATTACTTTGAAGTTGTGTCGGTCAATGAGAACGGAACAAGTGCCCCAGCCCCTGAGCTGAGAGTGATCACTAGGCCTTATGGTTTGTACAACTTGCATACAGTTCCTTGTAAAATCTTAAGGTTATAACGGACTCTGATATAACCAATTTACAGATATAGCAAATTGATTTTATGTCACATAATGTTTCAAAATAACGAACATTTTAAATAACAATTTTTTTTAAGATTCTAAAATTTGATATATTTAACTGATATATTAAACAGAAAACTTTAGTTCACTAAGTTAAGTTTTGCATTTATTATTTCCCTGAACATATTCTGTAGTCATAGGAGGGAAAACATGTATATTGTGAACTATACAGGTATATAGTTTAACAAATTGACAGCTGTCAGAAAGAACGAGGGCACATTTGATTGGCATTCACCAGAATCTGGGTGCACTTGAAAAGAGAAAATTTCAAAGAACTGTCACATGAAATTTCAGCATTCTTTTGATGTATTGTGTTCCTGTGAAAAAGGAAGGGAAATAGTTTCCTGATATTGTGTTTTAATTTGCTAAAAATGACATGAAATATGACTAGATGTGTCATTTGGTACAAAATGTTACTTTTTAAACTTTTTTTGTTAAATTTGCTATGTCTGGATCATCTTTCTATGATTTTCAAACATTATTTGTGTGCATTTAATTCAAAGAAACAAGAAAACTTTGTAAAAAAAAAAACTTAAAAAAAGGAGAAGACCCAGATAATTAAAAAAATTAACTTTTCCCAAAAATTCCCATTGTGGTGTTTTAAAATCATTTTGAAACCCATATTATTCGTGTAGTATGTGGTTCCAGTCCAAAGCACACAGGAATCCAGATGTTTTTGGTTCCATCCTTGCATGGAGCATCAATTATTTTTTTATGCAAACAATCAAGATGTTCGTCAGTTTAATTTTATGTACTGTCAGTTCAGTAGCACTGAGAGCAAAAATAACTCTTCCAACCTACTGAAACTTGGATATGTACATGTAATTGCAGTTAACTATTTCCTATTATCTTATAGGTGTTTATTATTTATGTGAAGTGTTACTATGTTATCGCACCTATTAAGATCAGTGGACTTAAATATTACAAATTATTTCATTGTAAATGTAACATTTTCTTATGTGCATAACTTTGTAAAGTCTGTCCAGCTGTGGTCAGCTGACCAAATCATGGACGTTTAAATTATGAGTGTTTTGTGCACATGATCCCTGCGGATTACATGCCAAATATGCGTATCTTTTTTGTTGCCTTTATCTGAGTCTGTTATGGTTCTCTGATATTGTGTGTCTACATTTACAGATAATGTCACTATACCTGATAGATGTCTACATTTACAGATATTAATGTCACTATACCTGATAGATGTCTACATTACAGATAATGTCACTATACCTGATAGATGTCTACATTTACAGATAATGTCACTATACCTGATAGATGTCTACATTTACAGACAATGTCACTATACCTGATAGATGTCTACATTTACAGATAATGTCACTATACCTGATAGATGTAACTTCACAGTGAAGAATAATACAGATGTTCAGTCAGATTTACTTCTCACGAGGAATGTAGCAGGCAGTGTGGAGGATTGTAAAATGTTCTGTTCCGTTCCCCAGTGTCGGGGATTCACCTACTCCAGACAGGACCGCACCTGTATGCTGTACATGGACAAACCCCCAATCAAGACCTACCCCAGACCTGGATTTGATTTATATAACCACACATGTCCTCTTTGTAAGTATCTTTATTGGTACCAATATTTTTAACTCACCTCAACGAAGTTGGGGGAGCTTATGTAATACCCTCGGCGTCTGTGTCGGCGTTGGCGTCGGCGTTCCAGGTTAAGGTTTTTGGAGGAGTTTTCTTTTCAAGTACTTCTGTTGATATATTAGTCAGAGATGCATGGAGGATGCTTCTAGTGTGTTTCATTGTACCAGTCAAGGTTTCAGATGCTGCAATTTCAGCTAAAGAATGACCAGGTTAATGTTTTTGGAGCAGGTTAAAGTTTTTGGAGCAGGTCTCATTTCCAAGTAACTATAAGCCCTATATTGACCAAACTTGCATGGATGATACATCTAAGGATTCACACTACTGAACTTGCTTCGGATGCTGGATCTGACCTACATTTTCCGGATGAGTGACTAGGTTAAGGTTTTGGGAGTAGATCTCATTTCCAAGTAACTATAAGCCCTATATTGACCAAACTTGCATGGATGATACATTTAAGGATTCACACTACTGGACTTGCTTTGGATGCTGAATCTGACCTATATTTTCCGGATGAGTGACCAGGTTAAAGTTTTTGGAGCAGATGTCATTTCCAAGTATCTATAAACCCTATATTGACCAAACTTGCATGGATGATACATCTAAGGATGTACACTACTGGACTTGCTTCGGATGCTGGATCTGACCTATATTTTCTGGATGAGTAACTAGGTTAAAGTTTTTGGAGCAGATCTCATTTTCTAGTAACTATAAGCCCTATATTGACTAAACTTGCATGGATGATACATCTAAGGATGCACACTACTGGACTTGCTTCGGATTCTGGATCTGACCTACATTTTCCGGATGAGTGACCAGGTTAAAGTTTTTGGAGCAGATGTCATTTCCAAGTAACTATAAACCCTATATTGACCAAACTTGCATGGATGATACATCTAAGGATTCACACTACTGGACTTACTTCAGATGCTGGATCTGACCTACATTTTCCGGATGAGTAACCAGATTAAAGTTTTTGGAGCAGATCTCATTTCCAAGTAACTATAAGGCCTATCTGAACCAAACTTGCATGGATGATGCATCAAGGGATGAACAATCTCAAAACTTGCTTCGGATGCTGGATTTGACTTACATTTTATGGATGAGTGACTAGTTTTAAGTTTTCAGATAAGTCTATTCCCAAGTAACTGCCAGCCCTATCAGACCAAAATTGCATAAATGTTGCATCTAGGGATGCACACTCCTAGATTATTAGTTTAGTGTGGGACTATGCCTTACTTAAAGACAACATTTGTTGAGGTGAGCTCTGTAATCTCTGATTACCTATGTTTTTTACCTCATGACCTTGACTTTGGAATTTGACTCACTTTTGAACTACTTTTGTGAAACTTTAACCTTGGTCATAACTTTTGAACATTTGTTGGTATGGCTTTCATATTTCATTTATGTATTCCTTATGATAAAACCTTTCTTTTTTGACTTCATGACCTTGACTTTAGAGTTTGACTTGCTTTTGAAAAACTTTAACCACGAGTTACCATATAGGGGCATCAGTGTTTCACAAACACATTATAATGAAAATTGTCAAAGCTTAAATGTTCTCCCCTGAAGAGGCATTGGATCTTTTGAATGCCTGTTGTAAAACCATTCAATAAGTATTTAGGTACAGGTATCTTATGAGTGATTATCCATACAGAATGGCCTGTCATAACCTAAAACCATAAAAATTGTTAAAATCAATTGTAAATGCTACAGCACCCAACCAGTACAAAGTGATATGACTTTCGCAGATCACTATATTTGATTTTATTTTCAGCTCCTGACAACACACGTCCTGGAAATTGGAGTCTGCAATATCAGAACAGAACAGGTAAGTCAAAGAGACAATACCAGGTAATTCAGCAAGTTAGTATCAAAACAAGTAACTAAGCAAGTCAGTGTTGTAACAGATCAGATAACTCAGCAAGTCAGTGTTGTAACAGAACAGGTAAGTCAAAGAGACAATATCAGATAATTCTGCAAGTTAGTATCAAAACAAGTAACTCGGCAAGTCAGTGTTGTAACAGACCAGGTAAGTCAAAGAGACAATATCAGGTAGTTCAGCAAGTTAGTATCAAAACAAGTAACTCGGCAAGTCAGTGTTGTAATAAATGAGGTACCTCAGCAAGTCAGTGTTGTAACAGAACTGGTAACCCAGAAAGTCATTGTTGTAATGGATCAGGTAACCCAGAAAGTCATTGTTGTAATAGATCAGGTGACCCAGCAAGTCAGTGTTGTAATAGATCAGGTAACCCAGCAAGTCAGTGTTGTAATAGATCAGGTAACCCAGCAAGTCAGTGTTGTAACAGATCAGGTAACCCAGCAAGTCAGTGTTGTAATAGATCAGGTGACCCAACAAGTCAGTGTTGTAATAGATCAGGTGACCCAACAAGTCAGTGTTGTAATAGATCAGGTGACCCAGCAAGTCAGTGTTGTAATAGATTAGGTTACCCAGCAAGTCAGTGTTGTAATAGATCAGGTAACCCAGCAAGTCAGTGTTGTAATAGATCAGGTAACTCAGCCAGACGATGTTGAATAAGAATAAGTAAGTCTATAAATCAGTATCAAAAACAGTACAAGTGACACAGAAATCAGTGCCAAAGCAGAACATATTACTTAGTTAATTAGAATGTAAAACAGAACAGAAAGTCAGGAAGATATTTTTTTTTATGAAATGAAGAAATCAGTGGTCTGAAATCTAAATGGCTTATTTTAATAGTAAATAATAGGATTTGAGATACATGTATAACACAGTATGAATGTTTTCACTGCCATTTTTTCCATACAGATTGCTGTCATAACATCAACATCTCCTCTGACTGTTTGGAAGCTTGTCTGAATGGAGACTTCCAGAGTGTGTATAAATGTGAGACTGACTATAACAAGATACTCACCTGTGCCTCAGGTAAAAATTTGACTTGTAAGCCTTTTTATAAGTTGTAATTTGTGAACAGTTCAATATAAATTACTTCTTAAATGGTGCCATATGATTCAACATTGAAATGTTTATTTTGATTTTTGGTGTTGACTGTTTTGGTATCATTCAATACTCAATAGTTTATTTTTACTGAGTCAGGCCAAAGGAAGCAACTTCAGTTGAGGGGGATGGGGGCACAACCATACATTTTTCAGTTGAGGGGGGGGGGGGCACTATCAACTACCAAAAAATTCCTTAGCAAGCAAACAACATTATTACTGAGGGGATGAGCACAAGCATATAATAGCTATGTTTTCTGTACTATTCTATATATCGGCAAAATTATTGGGGGTGGGGTGGGGTGGGGGGGGGGGGGTGGAGGACCCCTCGACCCCTGCCCTCCCAGTTCCTACGGGCCATGTGAGTGGTTGAAATGGATGTTACTAGTATACATGCGTATACATGTACTTGTTTCAGATGGGCATGGCCACATATCTGTTCATGAAGCTTGATTCTGTAGACTTTGTATGTATGTGATACATGTACTTGTTTCAGATGGGCGTGACCACACACCGTGCTGTCAGAAGGTGGGTGTGCCGGATCAATGTCTATCATTCTGTAGAGGACAGCTGGTACCAATGACAGGCATCAACTCTCTTTGTCTCACCTACAGTCCTCTATATATGCGCTGCTTCCTCAATGGAACTCGTAAGTGACAGCTACTGTTCTGATGAAGTCAGCATTGGTATTGCTGAAGTGAAGTGAAATCCTTAGTGTCATCTTTTTAAAAAAAAAAAAAAAATCTTTAAATTGCAAAACATTGGAATTGATAATGACTGAGTATGTACTTCTAGCTCTAGTAAATAATAACAAAAATGTCAGGACTTAAGAATGTAAAGATTCTACTATTTCAAAGGTAAGCTGGGTTAAGATGGAAAAAATGCATCAATTTATTTGAAATTTACCGTTGACTTGCACACACACAAGTCAGTTACTGTGGAATGTTAGTGAAACAATAGCCTTCGTCATGACAATTAATTGTATCAACTGGTTTTCCATCAATGATTTGGAATTAATCATGTCTTAAATAACTGTTGGTTTAAAGTGTATTCATGAAATTCAAAAAGATTTTGCAAAAGAATTTAGGCTACCTCGATCTGTTGAGTGTTACATTGAAATAAAAGTTGTCTTTTATCATAGGATATCTGCCTACTCCTCCAATGTCAGTCGCTGTGAAGACGGTGAATGGCACCACGGTGGTGGTATACTGGGGACCACCAGCTGATAATTGTGACACCTCTATTCAGTGTCATTATGTAGTGTCCATCAACATGACAGCAAATAACAGGACACAGGTATCAAAGTATTCATCAGTTATTCATAAATTGTAGTTGCAAATTTAGGCCAAATTACGGACAAATAATGATATGCAAAATTCAAGCATTCTTCTCCAAAAGGATAACTATCTAGAATTACTAGAATTGCATCAAAAATGTAATATTTCACATGAACTTTTTTTAAAAATCATTTTAGTATAAGACAAGGGAAACTAACATTATACTGGCAGGACTAACCCCTGAGATGACTTACATGGTGTCCTTACTGGCCATCAATCAGTATGGGAGCAGTATCCCCAGTCCTGTAGTTAGATTTATCACACCTGTAACAGGTAAGTCCAGCCTTGTACTGTGTCCTTACTGGCCATCAATCAATATGGGAGCAGTATCCCCAGTCCTGTAGTTAGATTTGTCACACCTGTAACAGGTAAGTCCAGTCTTGTACTGTGTCCTTACTGGTCCTCAATCAGTATGGGAGCAGTATCCCCAGTCCTGTAGTTAGCTTTATCACACCTGTAACAGGTAAGTCCAGTCTTGTACTGTGTCCTTACTGGCCATCAATCAGTATGGGAGCAGTATCCCCAGTCCTGTAGTTAGATTTATCACACCTGTAACAGGTAAGTCCAGTCTTGTACTGTGTCCTTACTGGCCATCAATCAATATGGGAGCAGTATCCCCAGTCCTGTAGTTAGATTTGTCACACCTGTAACAGGTAAGTCCAGTCTTGTACTGTGTCCTTACTGGTCCTCAATCAGTATGGGAGCAGTATCCCCAGTCCTGTAGTTAGATTTGTCACACCTGTAACAGGTAAGTCCAGTCTTGTACTCTGTCCTAAAACTCCTTACTGGCCATCAATCAGTATGGGAGCAGTATCCCCAGTCCTGTAGTTAGATTTGTCACACCTGTAACAGGTAGTTCCAGTCTTGTACTATGTCCTTACTGGCCATCAATCAGTATGGGAGCAGTATCCCCAGTCCTGTAGTTAGATTTGTCACACCTGTAACAGGTAAGTCCAGTCTTGTACTGTGTTCTTACTGGTCATCAATCTATGTGGGAGCAGTATCCCCAGTCCTGTATTTAGATTTGTCACACCTGCCTCAGGTAACCTTATGTTGGGTTTCTGCCTGAAAAACCTAAAATACATGTATTTGAATTTAGGTACATGGGGGCCAACGTATTGTTTCAAAATTTATTAAGATTCATCTGATGATTGTTGAATAATCAAGGGCCCATTAATAAAGCTTGTTGATTTATTTTCAGCTTCTGATGTTGACATATCAGTGACACAGAAACCGTTTTCCCCACCTCCACAGAATGGGGAAGTGGAACTCTTCTGCAATGTATATGCAGCTGGCAGAGCTTTTAATTTTGTTTATTGGATACGCAACAATAAGATAATACGTAAGGGAAGACAACTGATAATGAGGCAGTTGAGTGAGAGAGATGAGGGGAATTATACGTGCAGTGCCAAGGATGACAGAGGAACTGTCACCAACGTCACTCACTACCTCAGAATCATTTGTAAGGACTGCTTCATTCAAATGTGTTTCAATGAAAACTAATTTCATTTACATGTATCTACCACTGAGGCCATTATAAAATAATTCTTAGATTCTTATCCAAATTTTTTGAAAAATTATGGAGTTGTGACAGATTTTTTGATTGTGTTTTAATGTTATATTGTACAAATATTTGTTGACCTCATCAGTTGTAAACAGATTTATTTATTTTGCCCAAAATAAAAGTCAATGTAGAGATCCATTTAAATATGCATATCTCTTAATACATAACCTCACCAATCTTTACAACCATTGGTCCTTGTTTAATATATATAACGGCAAACAATGTTAATTCCACTTCACTCATCTACACTTCTTTTAAGATTGGCATTTCGTTTAAAATATTTCCATGCTTTTCTTGTCTAACAGCATAATGTTAAATCAGATAATTAACAAGGTAAAATTTTAATTAGGTCTTCAAAACTTGTATACCCCTTGGTAATATTATAAAGCCATTTATTAGATTGACTAGATCATGAAAACTAATCAAAACAAGTTGATTGTATTTGTGAAACTCAAGATCGAGACTAGCAGTAAATAAAATTGTTAATATGTTAGCTAGTATAATTATATTTTAAAACAAAACATTTCTTTTCTTATTTACTCAGTAAAATGTGTATATATCCAAGTAACTGAGTAAAAGTTTTTACTAGCCAATGCATTGTGTCAATTCTTAACTTGCTGACTGGATACTTGTTGACAAGACTGTTAAGAAGAATCTAGGCCCGGGGGGGGGGGGGGGGGGGGGGGGCATAAAAATTGGGACAGGTGAGAATGAAAATCTAGGAGTTCTTTTATAACGGCCTTAAGGAGACATACTGCCAAAAGGAATTGCAATTAAACAATCAAGTGTAGAAATTGAAAAATAATGATTGAACCTAAAATTATTTTCTGTTAAATCTATATTTAAATAATGTAAAGTATGATATACTTTGTACTAGCAAATATAACTTGTACATTTTAAATTTCCTCAGATAAGCCTAAGGCTATAAACCTGGTTGATGTCAGGTATCTACCCAATCAGAACCAGGTGGCTAAACTCCAGTGTGACTTCATGGGATATCCAACAAAAATACGATGGTTTAAGGGGGAGGATAAAAAACCAGTTGAAGAATTTAAAGACTTTTTCCACTCTGAGTCAATGTTGATATCATTTCCAACATTTCAGCGATCAGTTTTGTCTATATATTACGTAGTGGACAAAGCATTTGATCGTTACACATGTGTGGGTTCTAATGAATTTGGAAATGGGTCAGGAGTAGTGCAGCTAAAAAGTAAGTAAAATATGTCCTTTTAAGGCCCCCAAAAATTAAGTAACAGTTTCTCAGGCCAAAAATTTCAATTCAATGCAGCAGGCAGGTTCTTTTTTTTTTTTTTTTTTTTATTTATTTTTAGCAGGCGTTATACCTTTTTATGCCCCACCATGAATATGGCTGGGGCATATAGTGTTTGTCATGTCCTTCTTCCGTCCTTCCGTCTGTCTTTCTGTCATGCTTTGCGTTTAGCTATGTTCAAAGCTCAGTTTCAAAGAAACTATCCAAGATATTTTTATCAAACTTCACATGCTGATAGATATTGATAAGGGCTATGCAACTGCATCAATATTTTTTGACCTTGACCTTTCTTTTGACCTTGACCTCACTTTTCTTAAATTAGTGTTTAGCTCTGTTTTAAAGATACCCTTCAAGATAGTGTAATCAAACTTCATATGTTGATACATTCTGATGTAAGCTATTCAACTGCATCAACATTTTTGACCTTGACCTTTCCTTTGACCTTGACCTCACTTTTCTTAAATTAGTGTAAAACTTCATAAGCTGACACACACTGGTGTAAGCTATTCAACTGCATCAATATTTTCAGACCTTGGCCTTTCCTTTGACCTTGACCTCACTTTTCTCAATTTATGTTCAACTCGGTTTTTAAGAAACCATTCATAATATTTCCTATCAAACTTCATATGCTAATACATACTGATGTAACCTGCATCAACATTTTTTGACCTTGACCTTTCCTTTGACCTTAACTTCATTTATTTTGAATTAGTGTTTAGCTCAGTTTTTAATAAACCCTTCAAAATATTTTTATCAAACTTAATATGCTGATACATATTTGTGAGAACTATTCAACTGCATCAAAAACGGTTGACCTTGAACTTTCCTGTGACCTCGACCTCACTTTTCTTAAATTTGCATTTTGCTTAATTTTAAAGAAACCATTCAAGATATATTTATGTAAGCTTATGCACTAATACACAATTTGGTAAAAATTTATCATCTATATGCAACTTTTTAGATTTCAATTGCAATTTTAAAGAAACTATTCAAGATATTCCCATCAAATTTCATACACTAATACAAATTTTCATTTTGCATTACTTATATACCCTCGGTGGGGCATTCATGTCCTATGGACCTATTTCTAGTTTTTCATCTTAGTCTTTCAAAAAATGATGATATCAACTGATACTTACTTGGTTGGTTTTCTTACATTAATTATAATATATATTCAACTTTAATTAATTAATGTTATTCCAAACTTATTTAAAAGTTAATTCATAAAATACTGTATTAACAAGAAATAAATTGTTTATCTAATAAAAACGTCTATCTATTAGCATTTATGAAAAGGGGAATAGCTCATTTTTTTTTCAACTTGGAAAAATAGAAAAAAGTCATTCCCCTTTGCAATATGTCAATAAATTTGATCAAAGCGGCAGTTTTTGACCTGATGCGGCAGTGCCTGAGAAACTATTGAATACAGTTTTTTGGCCTAAAGGTTTCTTGGAATTCTTTTTTAAGATACAGACTTAAAATGTCATGCATTTCTCTGATTGAAATCTGACACTTTAGACAGTAAATGGATTTAGTGGAATAATGTGTTTTGTTTGTATGAATTAATCCAGTGAATTCAATTACAGATGACCTTCCAAGCCCCACTATAACCACACCCCCTCCCCCACCGACAACGAGGAATGTCTCGGGTATGTACAGAATATACACTAATAAAGTACAAAATATACATAATAAAGTACAGAATATACACCAATAGAGTATAAAATATACACTAATAAAGTACAGAATATACACCAATAGAGTATAAAATATACACTAATAAAGTACAGAATATACACAAATGAAGTACAAAATATACACCAATAAAGTACTAGATATACTAATAAAGTACAGAATATACACTTATAAAGTACAAAACATACACTAATAAAGTACAGAATATACACTCATAAAGTACAGAATATACACTTATAAAGTACAAAATATACACCAATAAAGTACAAAATATACACTCATAAAGTACAGAATCCACACAAATAAAGTACAAAATATACACTCATAAAGTACAGAATATACACTAATAAAGTACAGAATGTACACAAATAAAGTACAGAATATACACTCATAAAGTACAGAATATACACTCATAAAGTACAGAATATACACCAATAGAGTATAAAATATACACTCATAAAGTTCAGAATCCACACAAATAAAGTACAAAATATACACTCATAAAGTACAAAATATACACATAAAGTACAGAATCCACACAAATAAAGTACAAAATATACACTCATAAAGTACAGAATATACACCAATAGAGTATAAAATATACACTAATAAAGTACAGAATCCACACAAATAAAGTACAAAATATACACCAATAAAGTACTAAATATACTAATAAAGTACAGATTATACACTTATAAAGTAAAAAATATCGACTAATAAAGTATAGAATATACACTAATAAAGTACAAAATAGTATAAAATATAGACTAATAAAGTACAAAATATAAACCTTTTTAGTACAAAATTTACACTAATAAAGCACAGAATATACACTAATAAAGTACAAAATATACACTTAAAAAGGACAAAATATATCCTAAAAAAGTACAGAATACACACTTATATGGAGTGTATCAAATTACTATGTATCTGGAATAAACACCACCTTTTCTCCTCTAGTAAAAAAATTTTGTCATTGACAATAATATCTCAAGGGTCTTGTTCAGGGAGGAAATCTAAATGCTTTAGAACTGTTTCTTTATTGTGTTGTAGCATGCTGTGCCAAGTATGAATTGCCTCCAGTCTGTCAGGAGTTGTGTACATTAGAGGTGGATCTTGATGAAGTGGCAGCTCAATCATCAAAGTATGGCCAATGTTTGGCTTATCTTCAGTTCTTCACAAGTTGTGCCTCAGGTAAGGCATCAGTTCAGCATCATAAAAGCTTTGCTTGCAAGCAGATATAACTGCAATATTTTCAAGCTGTTCAGAGACCAAATAGACATGAATTCAGCTGTCTGCAGTGAACCTCCAAAGATGGTTTGATCTTGAATCAAGTGTAATCAAAAGTCCATGCATTCATAAAAAAATCACATCACTTGTCTTAAAGAACTGTGACTCAACTCGAATTTTAGAGCTTATATAGATAAATGAATTTTTTCTTTGTTAATTATTTAAGATAATTATATTTTATAGATAAACATTGTTTGCTTTACATCAAGTCATTAAATTAATTACAGATGGTAAAGATCACTCTAAATGCTGTCAGAAGAAGGGTGTACATCCATTCTGTGTCAAGTTCTGTACAGGCTTTGTCCCTGATGATACAGGATCAATCTACCTGATGAACTGTGTGTCTGATGCCAAGATCATGCTGCAGTGTGTACAGGAAAACGTAGGTCAGTGGAATGGAGATGTTTGTTAGAGGCAAAGAAATATAGGATAGGGGCCACAAAATGTAAGTCAGAGGCAAAGGAAATATAGTCAGTGACAAGGAAATGTAGGTCACTTGTAAGGAAATTTAGGTTAGAAGCAAAGAAATGTAGGTCAGAGGCAGAAAATATACAAGGAAACATGGTACATTTATGTGGATTTAGCGAAAAACAGTTTAAAGAAATAAGCAGAATTTTCTTATACTTTTGCTTATAAACCTAGTGAAAAAATGTGTGACCTTTAGGGAAATTTATTACTTTACATGGAAAATTAGTGGGGGTCAGAGGCCTTAAAATATAATAACATTTTGTAGACTAAGTAAAATATAAAAGCAGAAAAATGCAGTACAGCTAGATTTCTAGACTGGTTGAAAGTTTTGTGGTCCATATTTTTAGCTATTTTGAGCCCAATGCTCAAAGAGTGCTCAAAGAGCTAATGCCATGGCAATTTGTTCTGTGTTCATCAACTTTTAGGTATATGGGCCATATCTTAGGAACCCCCCTTGACAATTTTTTTTTATTTGTCACAGAGTACTCTTGGCCCAAGGGCTCACATTGAATGTGACCCTTAAACAAAGGGATATAATTAAGGAAATAAAAACAGAAGTAGTGATTGCTAAAACAATCTTCTTCTCAAGAACCACTGGGTAGATTATCGCAATACTTAGGCATAAGGATGAGGATATCCTGTAGATTAAAGATTCTTCAAGGCATCCCCCTGGGTCTAAGGGCATGTTCTATACATGTAGGTCACTTTAAAGTTGATCAAAAATGTTTTATTGGAACTGAGGTATATTTTGTCCACTACAAGGATTAGGATCATCAAATCTTGTCAGTGTATGCATCTTAGGACCTCATGTTATGTTGACTCAAAAGTAGGTCATGGTGACCTACTTTCTGAATTTTTAAAATTGATTCTGATGCATATATTGCATTTTATATATGATTTTAGGTTAAAAAAATAAGTAGACAAATTGCATATTTTATGATCCTGTAAGACTGGAAATATCGGCACCAAGTTTGTAATACATGAATTGGAAGAATTGTCCAAAGGAAAAAGGAAAGTGTACTGCAAAAATCGTGGTCCATTTATTTACTGATGAACAACTGAACATTTATTTCAATTAAAAGGCAAATCTCTTTTCACTTCTAATAAAACTAGTAAAATAATTTTACTTTGTAGTATTTAGAATGTTAATGTCATTTGTGTAGAGCTCATTCCTAGTCCTCCTAAAGTCCGAGCCATGCAGGACAAAGATGTCATTGATGTGAGCTGGGATAAGCCTGTCGACAATGCACATAGAGTTGAACATTACGAGCTGTTCTGGCTGGGGAGTGATACCCCCTCTTCTCCACAACAAGTCTCCCTGGTAAGCTATCACAAACTTGTCTGGTAAGGTAATGATACCCCCTCTTCTTCATAAGTCTCCTAGGTAAGCTTTTATAGGCTGTTCTGGCTAAGTAGTGATACCCTCTTCTCTACAAGTCTCCCTGGTAAGCTTTTATAAGCTGTTCTGGCTAGGTAGTGATACCCTCTTTTCTCAAAGTTTAGATGTAATAGGCTAGCTGTTCTGGCTAAGTAGTGATACCCCCTCCTCTCTACAACAAGTCTCCCTGGTTAGCTTTTAAAAGCTGTTCTGGCTAGGTAGTGATACCCCCTCTTCTATACAACAAATCTCCCTGGTAAGCTTTTATAAGCTGTTCTGTCTAGGTAGTGATACCCTCTTTTCTCAAAGTTGAGATATAATAGGCTAGCTGTTCTAGCTAAGTAGTGATACCCCCTCTTCTATACAACAAATCTCCCTGGTAAGCTTTTATAAGCTGTTCTGTCTAGGTAGTGATACCCCCTCCTCTCTACAACAAATCTCCCTGGTAAGCTTTTATAAGTTGTTCTGTCTAGGTAGTGATACCCTCTTTTCTCAAAGTTAAGATATAATAGGCTAGCTGTTCTAGCTAGGTAGTGGTAACCTTCTCTTATCTACATCATGTCTCCTTAAGCTTTCATAGGCTGTTCTGGTAAGGGAGTGATACCCCCTCTTTTCCACAACAGGTCTCTTTGTAAGCTATTATGAACTGGTTTTAGGTAGTAATACACCCTCCTCTAGTCACTATAGTAAACTATTAAAGACTGTTCCTATTATGTAAAGTTTCCCAATCTTTCCTTTATTATAGGCTGCTTTAAGTAGTGTTATACCACCTCTCTTCAACAACACTCCCTTGTATGCTATTATAGGATGTTCTTATAAAGAGAAAAAAATTCATTTTTATGTTCTTCTTTGTCCTTAAAATCTTTAAATTGCCATTCAGTGAAGAAATGTGAATTCAAATACATTGTAACTGAAAAAAAAGCAAAGTCTGAATTTTGATATCCCTAATAAGATTTGAAAATTGTTGTATAACCTCTCATTGTATGTCAGAACAATTCAAAGAGCTGGTGGTAACAAAAATTAAAAAGAAAATGAATTCTGTGGTCTTGATACAATACTTTTGCATTACATATAATGGAATACAGCTGTATGCTTAAAAACTTGAAATGCCAATGTACATGTGTTAAAAGACTAAAATTAATAAGATATAATGTTACATGTGCAGCTACATATCATTTTCAGTCCAGGAATATAACGGACCACAAAATAAAAAAGATAAAGGAGGGTGTGACGTATAGTATCTGGGTCATTGCTGTTAATGAGAGAGGCTCTAGTCAGCCAAGTAACAAACAGAATATCACCGTCAAAAGTGAGTAGTTCTAGTCAACCGAGTAACGAACAGAATATCACCGTCAAAAGTGAGTAGTTCAAGTCAGCCAAGTAACAAACAGAATATCACCGTCAAAAGTGAGTAGTTCTAGTCAGCCAAGTAACAAACAGAATATCACTGTCAAAAGTGAGTAGTTCTAGTTAGCCAAGTAACAAACAGAATATCGCTGTCAAACGTGAGTAGCTCTAGTCAGCCAAGTAACAAACAGAATATCACTGTCAAAAGTGAATAGTTCTAGTTAGCCAAGTAACAAACAGAATATCACTGTCAAAAGTGAATAGTTCTAGTCAGCCAAGTAACAAACAAAATATCACTGTCAAAAGTGAGTAGTTCTAGTCAGCCAAGTAACAAACAGAATATCACTGTCAAAAGTGAATAGTGTTATTATTAAGTCTACCCTGATAAGTGAGCCTTTGCTTTATATAAATTTGTAGAACTTTACACACTGAGTAGAGGTATAAAAGTTTGTTTATTAACACAAGTGTGCTGAAGAATTTTGTTGATTAAACAATATTTAAAGACATTTTAATGCAGTTTAAAATAAACATTGAATGCATTATGTTGTAGATCTGCGTCCATCCAAGCCGACCAGTTTGCATGTATCTGAAGTGAATGGTGAAAGTGTGGTTTTGAAGTGGGATCCACCAGAAAATCATGCTGTAGTGGACAGTTACACCATTAAGTACAGGAAGGCACAGTCTAGTGATGCCTTCACAGAGGTACAATCTATATATAGATCTAAAGGCCCAGTCTAGTGATGCCTCCACAGAGGTACAATCTATATATAGATCTAAACAACAGACTAAAAAAAAAATCCCAATAAGATGGTGTTTGCATATTGGAAATTGCTTCTCAATACAGGAGGTCAATTATAAAATCCTAAAAGTAACATAAATTTCTAAAATAAATAAAAAAAAAAATCATCTGTTCAATTATTTTTACATTAGAAAGCTGGCATTCTCTGTATGTTGTTACTGCATTGTAGATTACAGCTGCTGGTTCTGTAAACACGTACGTGGTAACAAAACTTGAACCCAACACGCTGTATGAGTTTCAGCTAATTGCTGTGGGTCCTAATGGTAAAAGTGAGACTGCAGCCCTCCCCTCACTCAGTTCAGGTAAGAGTTGCCTTCCTTGAGCTTTTGGTATGAAGACAGAATATTTCCCAAATTTGCAGTATGTTTAAATCTTGAATCATTTGTCATAATGTTTTTTTTTTTATGAATTTTTAGGCCCAAGTACAAGTCCCAAGAGAGTCAAAGGTAAGATTTGACATATTTTAATATCATTTGCTACTTTAATTAGAATGCAAAATCATTTAGTGGTTGTAACAAAAACAAACCTATGAAATACACTAAGACCTCTATTAGTTGTAATACGTAATCAATTGAACCAATTGATTCATTATGAGTGTCTGGTTCTAATAATTGTTCAGACATGTCTGGTTGTTTGGATGCCATTGGTTTGCAATATTAAAAGAGTAATGTGCTGTTGTTGATTACAGATCGGGGTAATTCTTCTGTGCCGCTTGGGATTGGTCTGACTGCCTTGATTATTCTAATGGCTGGGGGGCTTGTGGCAGTGTTTCTGTACTGCAGGTCAGAAGTTACTAAGCATCAGTCAAAGTATTAAAATTTTCTAATGATTTCACACTTCCTGAGAAAGTAGATGGAGTAGTAGAGAATTGTAATGAAGACAGAGTTTTACTTTCCATTGCTTGTATTAATTGTATGGTACACAAAACATTACATTTTTGATTATACATGTATATCTTTAAAAAAACTATATTTGCATATTAACACAGGAGAAAGAAGAAAATGAATTTTGGAGAAACTGTCTCATTTGAAAATCCACAATATGGCAGCAGAATTCAGGTAAGTAACTGTATAGAGGGATCAAAGAGATGCAAGGAATCTCACGAATGCATAGGATATTTACTCTGTTTTAATACAATTCTGGAGATATGTGAATTTTATTGCACAGGAGACCCTAACGGAGCACTGGGTCAATATAAACCAAACTTGATACTGAACAAAAGTGTACCTGGTTAAGGACAGATGATACAAACAAAAAATGTTTGCCTGGATTGATACCGTAAATCTGGAAATTTTTACTGTAGATAAATTTTTAGCAAATTTGCGAGTGCATTGCATTCGCAAAAATATTTTTCTTAAAAATAAATAAACAACAAAAAATGTAAACAAAAATTTTTCTGACAACCGGTGTCTTTTTTTTTTAACCCGGTGAATATCTGTTCATACTACAGGCTAATTATCCGTGATAATCCATGCATTAACTACATTCAATATCGTCCGATTGTTTGACTGGCAGTATGTCTCTTTTAAATTATTTCTCTAACAAAGAAAGGCCAGTTATTTTATCATGTTTATCTAACAACGAATTCTTAGCATGACAGATAGTTAACGAAGAAATTTCTCTCGTGTATAATGAAACCCCGACGAAAGGAATGTGATTGTATGTACATGCATAATTCATTGTATGCACATCTGTAACTTATAAAATGTACATTATGAAAATTTTAAGAGCTTTTTATTTTTAGCGCCAATGACAATTCGCAAAATTTTAAAACGTAAAAATTAATCAACACCTTTTTGACCCAGATTCGCAAAAATAAATCGACGTAAAAATTTCCAGTTTTACGGTATATATTTTTGGACATAGTTTGGTTGTTCATGTAACTGATGTAATGAAAAAAGGTGAAGATAACGAACAGTGATCGATCTCAAATTGCTATTAAGAAATCATAAACTTTCTTTGATGATCCTTTCCAAGAGAGATAATTATAAATAATTGAAAAAATAAGCAAGACTCACAGGTCAACTATAGACAAAACTTGGAACAAAAGCATCGTTATATACAGTGGACCCTCAGATATCTGGACGCTAGATTTCTGGATGCTTCATCTTCTGGACGATTTTTCATGGGAACAGAATTTTTAACGTTATTTTGTCTCGTTTATCTGGAACTCTGCATCCCCTATCCGGACGTCTTTTTTTCACCACAAAATACGTTTTTAGCTCACCTCAAACTCAAAGAAGTTGGGGGGAGCTTATGTGATACCCTTGACGTCGATGTGGGTGTCTACGTCCCAGGTTAAAGATTTTGGTGCGGTTTTCTTTTTAAATACTTCTGTGCCCTACATTAATCAGAGATGCATGGAAAATGCTTAAAGTGTGTTTCATTGTACCAGTCAAGGTTTCAGATGCTGCAATTTCAGTGAGGTTAATGATTTTAGAGAAGGTTAAATTTTTTGGAGCAGGTTCATTTCTTAGGTAACTATAAGCCCTATGTTGACCAAACTTGCATGGATGATGCATCTAAGGATGCACACTACCAGGCTTGCTTCAGATGCTGGATTCAACCTACATTTTCCAAAATAGGGATCAGGTTAAAGTTTTTTTTTAAACTGGTTCATTCATAAGTAACTATTTGCTGAACCTTGACCAAACTTGCATGGATGTTACATCTAAGGATGCACACTACTTGACTTGATTTGTATGCTGGATTTGACCTACATATTCCAGCTGAGTGACCAGGTTAAAATTTTTTTGCACAGGTCCATTATCAAGAAACTATAAGGCTTATTTGAACCAAACTTGCATGGATGATGCATCAAGGGATGAACACTCTTAAACTTGCTTCAGATGCTAGATTTGAATGATTTTCTGGATGAGTGATTAGTTTGAAGTTTTTGGATAAGTTCATTTCCAAGTGACTGCAAGCCTTATCGGATAAAAATTGCATAAATGTTGCATCCTTGGATGTACACTACTAGATTATTAGTTTAATGTGGGACTTTGCCTTATGTAAAGACAATATTCATTAATGTGAGCTCTGTAATCTCTGATTACCTATGTTTACATTATTTTTTGGTTCATTTATCTGGACGGTAATTTTTTAATTGTTCTGTCATTTCTGCTCGAATTTCTTGAGCTGGATGTTTATTGTTGTAAAAACGCTGGCCTGGCTGTTTGACATATTAATTAAAGAAAATAATTTTATATGTCAGTAATTTTTCCGTAGTCAGCAAATGCATTTCATTTACTGTTAGAATACAGTCGTAACATTGGTTTTATGTATTGCTACTCATAGAAATGACATCAGAGTTTTTTATGCACAATATTTTATACACAAAACGGATTCTGTGATTTGATAACATTTATAAAATCACATTCAAAGTGACACTAATGGGATCTCATTTGGATGAGCGTTCGTATTAAAATAAGACTCTACCGACGGTTTGTTTCTCTACCAGCTCTACAGACAGTTGGCAAGGGGAAGTTCATTCATTAGAAACTGGGAGGCAGAAATAATTAAAACAGCCATATAAACAGTGTTTCATCTGATGACAAAGTATTTTTTTATTTTATTTAAACAAGTGTTATTGAGTGGTACTAACGTATATTAAAGTATTTAAACTATAAAACATTGATATAAAGCAGCCTTCTTTACTATTACCAGTGGTATGTAAGGCCATATAACTGAAATCAAAGCATTGCAGGTATATGGACACTTCACCTATCAGGACAATTTTGACTGGGAACCAAAGCATCCAGATAAATGAGGCCCCACTGTAGTATATATTGTTTCAAATTGGATTCAAAGAATTTTACTGAAAAATAAATTGGCCAAAGAATTTTTAAAAACCATCTCCTTAAGTACATTTATAGCTTGTCCCCAAGAAAGCAAATTAGTATAAAAGCATCTCCATGCAGTGTAGATTAAAGTTTTTTCAAGTCATGGCCTGTAAGTATAGGATTGGGCTAGAACAGAGGTTGTACAAAGGAGTTCTCAAGAACAGCAAAGCTACCATCTGCCACATTCATATATATACATGTAAAGTTAGCAAAGCGCCATCTGCTACATTCATATGAGAGATACATGTAATGTTAGCAAACCTACAATCTACTACATTCATATGAGAACATATACTTGTAATCTTAGCAAACCTACAATCTGCCACATTTTTATATGAGAGCATATGCATGTAAAGTTCAAGTTTTTCATATCATTGCAATCCTGAGAACAGCAAACTCATGAATAGTTGTATTACTTTTTAAGCATGTGTAAATTCATTTTTTTTTTCAAACTCATGGCTCTTGGATTTAAGATGGGCCAAAACAGTGGTACATGTACAAAGTTTACACAGAAAGGCTTTCTTAGTGAACAAAATTGACAACTTTATTTCAAGTCCCATTTAATATTCTGAGAGTTAAAATTGTTGAAATAGGGAATTTCTCTTAACATTTACATGTCAGATGTAAGATGTACATGTGTATGTAATTCAGGTGAGCCTTATATACAGTCTTGACCATTGTAAGATAGAAAAATAGAAGATAGAAATACTGCTATAGTAAACCCTGGTATATTTACAGATATCTGGATTGCCTAACAGTACATATGACTCCACCAGTGATGAGGGTTTTGGGTATGCCCCACTGAGAGAGGACCACGAAATAGAACATCGACCAACAGATAAATCAAACCTGCGGGATGATTCCAGAATGGACGTGGCTATAACATAACCTTTTGTAGAATTGGAAACGTCTCCCACCAGATCACCATTTACTCAGACTTCATGAAATCTGTCCAAAAGATGGATTGTTGCAATATATTAAAGTCCCCATGTTATAAACCCAACATGCTCAAGCCTCTAATTGTAAAAAAAAACTGATTTTTTTTTCATGTGATTATATACGAACACATATTGAAAGACATTTTATTGGGTATTTTGCATGCATAATGCAATTCTGCACACCTTTTGTATTGTCAAGATAAATTCTGATTCTGTATATCCGTCCCAGAAATGTGAAGCCAGAAATGTATGCTGTAGTCTTCAAGTTAATCCTGTAATTCACTTACATGTAGATAATGGATGTTTTTGTGGTTTGTACCAAATTTTGTATATCACTTTAGTTTCACTTTTCCAACTTTTTGAAATCAAAAGTAAGTAAGTTTACAATATAGTTCTTGAGTTCTTGATCACTTATGATGATTAATAACTCATAATAAAAAATACCCTGTACCTTATATGATTAGGTAGGGAGTATATTTTTTATTATAAGAAAAATAAATAACTTCAGCTGCCTATGTTCTTGATGTCCATGTGGGTGTTTCAGTTGAGCAGTTTTATTTGGAGGGTTTTATAAAGATTTGGTCTCACTGCCAAAGCTACATATTATTTATATGACAAGGGACTGCATATTAGGTCATCGAGGTCGATCCCCCTGTAAACTCTACATTGGTTGATGCATGCAATATTTATTTTCTAGATAATTATTTCACGAAAATCAAAATAAAACTGATTACAAAATTTGAGAAACTTTCAGTATGATCTAAATGTCTTTTTTTCATTGTGAGCTACATGTATGTAGTCCCTGATTGTTATACATTGTATTACGCTATTGTAACAATTTTTGTAGTACAGTGTACCCTGGTACCATGTAATTTTTACTTACCTCACTGGATCAATTTTTTTTCAAACATTATAACTCAAAAGAAACAAGGTTTTAAGTTTTTCAAAAAAAAAAAAAAAAAAAAAAAGAATGTTAATGGCATGGACAGGAAATATAAAAGTTACAAAAGATATACACACATATTTCAGTTTTGAAACTTGATGAAGGTATGTCACTCGGGCATAATTCTGTATGTGCATTGACACTTCATTAAAAATATGCCTAGCTGAAAAGTATCGGGCCATATCCTTTTAAACTTTTAAAACTAAAAATACATCTCATACATTTATTTACATTCCAAGCATTCACTTATTTCATTCAAACACAAGAAATTGATGAATTGTCAAATGGTTCATTTCCTCATTGCTCTACATCAGTTGTAGTTCATGAAGACGTGAACTTTGAATTCCTTTTAAGGAATCCTAAAGAGAAATAACATCTGATATGAATATGTAGTATTGTTTTACTCTTTTTAGACTTGTGATGTGACAAATGGCTAAGAGTTATCACAGTTTTGCAAATTTTTGGCATGTCATTAGTCCATGAGACTTAACGGAGGAGCATTCTTTCCAAAGAAAATGCTTTCAAACTACTGTCATTGTATATTTTCTGTTGTGTCATTAGAACTTCGAGATTTATGAGAGATCATATGTCATTAATGCCCTCTTTCTGTTTAAGTTAGTGTGTTTGTTTGTTTGTTTGTTTTTTAGCTCTACTGGTCAGAGACCAGAAGAGCTTATGCGATAGTAAGGTGTCCGTCGTCCGTCCGTCTGTCTGTCTGTCTGTCTGTCTGTCTGTCCGTCTGTCTGTAAACAATTTTTCAAAACGCTACTCCTCCTACAGTTTTGGTCCGATTTCAATATAACTTGGCACACAAGTAGACTACACTAAGATACATAATTTAGTGCATCGGTTTTTGATTTCGATGGACGGTGTTGCCATGGTTACTAAAAATAGAAATTTCTGTGAAATTCCTTTAAAACGCTACTCCTCCTACAGTTTTGGTCCGATTTCAATATAACTTGGCACACAAGTAGACTACACTAAGATACATAATTTAGTGCATTGGTTTTTGATTTCGATGGACGGTGTTGCCATGGTTACTAAAAATAGAAATTTCTGTGAAATTCCTTTAAAACGCTACTCCTCCTACAGTTTTGGTCCGATTTCAATATAACTTGGCACACGAGTAGACTACACTAAGATACATAATTTAGTGCATCGGTTTTGGATTTCGATGGACGGTGTTGCCATGGTTACTAAAAATAGAAATTTCTGTGAAATTCCTTTAAAACACTACTCCTCCTACAATTTTGGTCCGATTTCAATATAATTTGGCACACAAGTAGACTACACTAAGATACATAATTTAGTGCATCGGTTTTTGATTTCGATGGACGGTGTTGCCATGGTTACTAAAAATAGAAATTTCTGTGAAATTCCTTTAAAACGCTACTCCTCCTACAGTTTTGGTCCGATTTCAATATAATTTGGCACACAAGTAGACTACACTAAGATACATAATTTAGTGCATCGGTTTTTGATTTCGATGGACGGTGTTGCCATGGTTACTAAAAATAGAAATTTCTGTGAAATTCCTTTAAAACGCTACTCCTCCTACAGTTTTGGTCCGATTTCAATATAACTTGGCACACAAGTACACTACACTAAGATGCATAATTTATTGCATCGGTTTTTGAATTCAATGGACGGTGTTGCCATGGTTACTAAAAATAGAAATTTCTGTGAAATTCCTTTAAAACGCTACTCCTCCTACAGTTTTGGTCCGATTTCAATATAACTTGGCACACAAGTACACTACACTAAGATGCATAATTTATTGCATCGGTTTTTGAATTCAATGGACGGTGTTGCCATGGTTACTAAAAATAGAAATTTCTGTGAAATTCCTTTAAAACACTACTCCTGCTACAGTTTTAGTCTGCTTCTAATATAATTAGGCATACAAGAAGACTATACTAAGATACATAATTTATTGCATTGGTTTTTGAATTCGATGAACAGTGTTGCCATGGTTACTTAAAATAGAAATTTCTGTGAAATTCCTTTAAAACGTTACTCCTCCTACAATTTTGGTCTGATTTCAATCTAATTTGGCACACAGTTAGAATACACTACGATACATAATATGTATTTCTGTTTTTTTTATTTGGGTGAATGGTGTTGTCATGGTTACCGGTACTAAAAATAGAAATTTCCGTGAAATACTTTCAAAACGCTACTACTCCTAGTTTTCATTTGATTTCAATATAACTTGTCACAAAAGTAGACTACATTAAGATACATAATTCTATTTATTGTTGCATGTTGCAATGTTTCAAATCCAAGTGCTACTTTTCTTTTGTTATACAAACAGACCAGTAGAGCTACAGTCTCATCAGAGACTTCTGGTTTTGTTTTACATCTGAGAGGTTGTGATTGCAGTTGATTGATTTGTGGGATGGTATATTAATTTTGATATGCTTTAGATTGGTGCACGGTTAAATTCTCATTGATATTACTATTTTTGTGATTTTTTTTTTCTAATTTATTTTTTTTTTGTATCAATTTTTCATAACTTAAAGTTGTGCTTACAGGAAGTTAAGAATAGAAAATAATTTTTTTTACGAGTGTTGACCAATAAATATGTTCTGTGGTGCAGTATGAAGAGAAAAATCCATTTAAAAAAAGATAAAGTGAATGTTTCAAAACTGGAGTGAGATAGGATTTTTGGATTTTAAAAATAAAATCAAATTAGTTATAAACCACTAAGGTATAGCACTTGGTAATTGCATATTGTTTGTTGATCATTAATACTCTATTTTATCCTTTTTCATTAGCTAGTTGATTATATTGATAATACAGTGTAAAATCTCAGTTGCATAATATTTTCAGATTTTGGGGTAACTTTATTAATTGCAAAGCACCATGTTACAAGAATTGCAGTCATCAAATTACAATATCAAAATTTAAATATTAATCTCATTATTTGATCATTATACGGATATGTTTTTTATTAACCATAACAGTAACTTATCGTAGAAAATTTTATGCCTATCATTTCTTAAAATTTGTAATTATTAAACTTGTCTGCTTAATATACAGTTAGCAATAAACAGTAAGCTGGAATCATTAAGGAATAAAGATGTAGTAAAAGAAAAGCAATTGATATATGTGTCTTGATAAGAATTCTCATATGAGTGGAATCTCGTTTTTCTGAGGTTTATATTTTTTGCCATTATTTTGATACTTGTTTATACCCTGTGTTCTTAGATTTTGGTACATGTTTATTTATAATGTTCACTGATTTTCATGTAAATCATTTAAGTGCTTTGTAATGGAGAAACTTAAATTCTTCCCTTTTTCATATTTTTTTTTCATAGTGCATTCGTCAAAGTGCTAAGTGGGAGTTACATGTATCTGGGATTCAATATTCAGGAAATCATTATCATAAAGAAAAAATATCAGTTTAAAAATACATGTAAATACAATGATTTTACTCATATAAATGATATATAAATTATACATGATGATATATTTAGATCTTTCCTTTGAATCTTTTACGAAAAAGAAAATCTTTTACAAAGTTTGCCCGTGTGAAACCTTATAAACTTGGTTGTTATTATTTTTGTTCAACATTCCATGACAGGAGTTTATCACTATACACAACATAGAGCCAAGTAGCTGTTGTATCTTTATTTTGTTATCAGTTTTGTTTAAAATGTAAATATGTATTGTCTTTTTTGTATTTTTTTTGGAATGCCCACTAAATAAAAAATCAAATCCACTCATTCTTGTAATAGCTTATTATTTCTTGTTTATTTTAATCTCAGCTAAGATATGGTATCTTTGATCTACTCACAAATACTCTGAGGTTGATTTTCAAAATAAGCTTGAGTTACTCATTTACAATATCTATACAATCTTTGAAGACCAGGTCTGACAACAATTTGTTGCAATCCCCATGGATACTAATTATATCCCTTTATATGCAGATTTTTTTTTATTTCTAATGAAGCAGAATTTTTTTCAAAAACTAAATGAAAAAAATAAAGAAGTTGCTTGCTGTGGCTTCAATTCCACATTTAGATATACCTATGACATTTCATCAATTAACAATATTCATTTTTGTACCTACGTTGATTCAATATATCCCTTTGAAATAAAAGACACCACAGAGACTGATACATCTGTTTCATATTTGGAGGCTCTAATAGACAAACTATTGGCTAACTAATAACTTTATGATAAATGTGATGACTCAACTTTTCCATGGTCAACTTCCCTTATTTGTGTAGCAATACACCATAATCACCTGCGTATGGGGGTTTATGTCTCCCACTTGATTTGATATACAATAACATGTCCTACGTACAAACAATTTCTCAAATAGTAAGGCTACAGACAAATAAGTTGATAAGAGGGTATCAACAATCTAAAATCAATGTTTTTCTAATTATGTTGCCGATATAATGACCTTGTTTGCAAATACAATCTATTATTAGGTCGAATGATGACTGACGTCTTTCATACAAATTGTTAGACCATTATTTTCGCACTGAATTGTCAAAACATTTCCCCGTTTACATGATCAGGACCGGTCAACAGGTCATAAAAAATCGATGTTTGACCGCAGAGCGAGGTATTGGACCTGTCAATGAGATATTATACCGCTTACGTCACACCGTTGATGTTCAACAGTGACGGAACTGACCGAGGTTAAACGCAGTGCGGGTAAAGTAAATTTACATCATGGAAGCCAGCACAAGGTACATGTATATCAAAAAATAAAAGGTATAGACCCCTGGAACAAAACGGTTTGCCTGAGGCCTAACTGCCGTAGGCAAACAGTTTGGTTCTTGGGTCTGAAAAAACGCATGTTGCCCTCGAACCCAGTCATTAAATGTATATTGTTTAATTGGACTTTTGAGCATGATATCACATTTCACTCTAGTAAAGTATATTGGTAGATTTTAAGAAGGATGGCTTTCAGAATAAAGAGTCGAAAATCTTTAATTAATCTAAAGTTAAATGAGTATGAGGGAACAGATTGTGAGAAATGTACAGAAATGTTGAAGTCGATTAGATCTTTCTCTAGATTTAGTTATTATTTTTAAAAAAACCTACAAATAAAGCATCTTTCTTTATTGTAGAATGTTCGGGTAAAAAGTATCGGTTTGAGATAAGGCAGAAATAAAATTGCAATACTTATTTATAGCACAGTTGATATTACTACAAACACTACCCATGACTCAGCTGAGTTAGTCTCTCATTGTGTTTTGACTTCATGCTCATACACTTGGGGACTACTGTTGTGATTAATCTCTTCACATCTGTGCTAGGTTTTCAGTTGCTTCTGCCTTTCTTCATTCACATCCAGCAGGGTGCCTTCTCTGTCGCCTGGTCCATCTTATGCAGAATAATATCTCTTAACATTATGCAGGAAAGCCCCTGTAGCCATCTCGACAGGGAAGCACCATATGTCTACCATCCTTTATCTTTGCATTCTGCCGTAAGTTCTTCATATTTTGCCCTCAACTTTCGTTGGCCTCACCGCATCTCTCCGCCAAGGAAACCCTCAGATCTATTTACAAGTTCCTTACTCCCTGGTGAATAGAGAACCATGTCCTGTCTTAGGTTTGTAGGGACAATATCAAGAAACTGAGCATCACCCTATTTCTAATTGTAGCTTCTAGTCTCGTGTTGTT